TGTGGAGTAATGACCAAGCTGCAGCAGGTGCAAAAATCAGCAAATGACTTGGCAATCCCCACTCAATAAGCTTTTTGTACCCTGCGTCACGGCACATGTGTAGCAGTGCAGACAAAGAGGATGGAGACAGACATGTTATGTGGAGTAATGACCCAGCTGAAGCAGGTGCAGAAGTCAGCAAATGACGTGGCAATTCCCACTAAATAAGCTTTTCGTACCCTTCAGAAGGAACAAAGTTTATGCTTCTTGAAAGCTTTACAAGACATCCATGTCGGTCAACCGCGGATCGCATTTTCAAGTCCGTTTTGTGTGGCAGGTGTGGGACGGTCAATTATCACCCTCTTTTAAATATATAAGATTTTCAAGCTTTTGGAGGGTGGGAATGCGACCGGGGTACGGCAAAGCTCCATGCTAGGATTCTACGGGGAAAGGGTGTGCAGAAGAAGAAACCAACCATGTTCACTGTGGGAAGCTCAACAAGCGCAACTTTTGTCCTACCAGTGCGTCACGGCACATGTGTAGCAGTGCAGACAAAGAGGATGGAGACAGGCATGTTATGTGGAGTAATGACCAAGCTGAAGCAGGTGCAAAAATCAGCAAATGACTTGGCAATCCCCACTCAATAAGCTTTTTGTCCCCTTCAGGAGGAACAAAGTTTATGCTTCTTGAAAGCTTTACAAAACATCCATTTCGGTCAACCGCGGATCACATTTTCAAGTCCGTTTTGTGTGGCAGGTGTGGGACGGTCAATTATCACCCTCTTTTGAATATATAAGATTTTAAAGCTTTTGGAGGGTGGAAATGCTACCGGGGTACGACAAAGCTCCATGGCTAGGATTCTAATCTACTGGGAAAGGGTGGTTCATAAGAATAAACCAAAACCCTGTCACTGTTGGAAGCTCAACAACGTCAAACTTTTGTCCTTAACCACTAACCAGTGCGTCACGGCACATGTGTAGCAGTGCAGACAAAGAAGATGGAGACAGACATGTTATGTGGAGTAATGACCAAGCTGAAGCAGGTTCAAAAATCAGCAAATGACTTGGCAAATCCCACTAAATAAGCTTTTTGTACCCTGCGTCACGGCACATGTGTAGCAGTGCAGACAAAGAGGATGGAGACAGACATGTTATGTGGAGTAATGACCAAGCTGAAGCAGGTGCAGAAGTCAGCAAATGACGTGGCAATTCCCACTAAATAAGCTTTTCGTACCCTTCAGGAGGAACAAAGTGTATGCTTCTTGAAAGCTTTACAAGACATCCATGTCGGTCAACCGCGGATCGCATTTTCAAGTCCGTTTTGTGTGGCAGGTGTGGGACGGTCAATTATCACCCTCTTTTAAATATATAAGATTTTAAAGCGTTTGGAGGGTGGAAATGCGACCGGGGTTCGACAAAGCTCCATGCTAGGATTCTACGGGGAAAGGGTGGTGCAGAAAGAAACCAACCATTTTCACGGGGGAAGCCAACAATCGCAGACTTTTGTCCATACCAGTGCGTGCACGGCACATGTGTAGCAGTGCAGACAAAGAGGATGGAGACAGCATGTTATGTGGAGTAATGACCAAGCTGAAGCAGGTGCAAAAATCAGCAAATGACTTGGCAATCCCCACTCAATAAGCTTTTTGTACCCTTCAGGAGGAACAAAGTTTATGCTTCTTGAAAGCTTTACAAAACATCCATTTCGGTCACCCGCGGATCACATTTTCAAGTCCGTTTTGCGTGGCAGGTGTGGGACGGTCAATTATCACCCTCTTTTAAATATATAAGATTTTAAAGCTTTTGGAGGGTGAAAATGCGACCGGGGTACGACAAAGCTCCATGCTAGGATTCTACGGGGAAAGGGTGTGCAGAAGAAGAAACCAACCATGTTCACTGTGGGAAGCTCAACAAGCGCAACTTTTGTCCTACCAGTGTATGGGCCATCGCCGAGATCTGGTGCGGCAACCTGACCAGCGTGGGAAACAGCCAGAAAAACCCGGGGATTCATTATGATTCAACACTTGATCAATCATGATCAATCACTAAGGTTCCAATTACACCTTCTGAGACTATATTTGGTGCTTTTTGGGCTTCAAATACCTTCTCAGCTGGCACTCTATGGAGCCCATCAGGGCATATTGGAGACAGTGAAAAGCAGCAAGGAACACCTGGGATATGCACCATTGTAGTCTCAAATCGTCCAGTTGGGCGCAAAACAAGGGCAACAAAAGCATCCAAACAAATGGCTAAAGAGACTAAAACATCGCCCAAACGATTTGCGATATAGGAGTAAAAACATGCGTGTAAAAAGGTTTGGTAGCCCCAAAACAAAAGTTTGTGGGTCGGGGTTCACCCACATGGGGTTAGCGTGTAAAAAGGAGTTGCTTGCAACACGCACCAGGGGTAGAACCAGAAACAATCCCAGCAAGATGGGCCACAAAAATTTGGATTTTGACCACCCAATCTTTTTATAAAGATAGAACTGGAGCATCAAGATTGAGGATAGTGGAGACTATGGCCTTCAGCCTGTGAGAATATTTAAAGAAACAACAGGTGGTTTCTGGAGACCAATCAAAACACATAAATTTCATCATTTTTCAAACGGGGCATCCAAGGAAACCAACAAAAACCTGGAAGATGCCCAGCTTGGACCTCGGTGAATCCCCCTTTTTTCTCAGCTTGTTTTTGGCCCAGGGATGCGAAAAAAAATTGGTTGACTTCTGCATCTCCAGCCCCCAAACAAATATAAATATATATATATATAACTAGTTGGCGGTTTCAAGCCCTGAAAGAGACGAAGGTCATAGTCATAGTTCAACCCCCAAAAAAAGATGTGAAGCACCAACTATCCCCACGATGTCACCACTATGTCACTATAAATGGGATCCCAAGGAACAGGTCCAAGCATAGAGCGAAACATGCGGTGGTCCCACATGTCTGCACATAGACGGTGACATCCTCGGATGTCGCTTCCAAGCGTCACAAGCTTCCAAGACTGGCTGGGAAAATCATCCAAATGATTCCAAATGTCAAGATGACAACTGGCTGGGGTGCAATTCTTCAACTTTTAAGGGATTGATATGATGGATTGGTGAGTCATGGTGAGTCCTGAGCACTGAAATTGTGAAGTGGGATGACCAAGATAGAGTGATTCCAATCACACAAACCGTTGAAGAGGAACTACTTGGAACAAGCTATCTGACATGATGCAAGCGACAGTCAAGATCCATGATACCCGCTCAGGGGCTGTAGTTGCGAACACACTTAGAAGGAACACGCATAAGACTGCAGGATTGCTAGAACATCAAACATCCTTTCTTGGGAACGCTAGAAATTGTGAAAAAACACGACTGTTTGATCATCTAGGTACAGAAAGCCACGGCAAGTTGTTTTATAACTATGTTGACAGTGGTTTGTGGCAGAAATATTCATAGTTTTATAAATAATATCAGATAATGATGGTCGGTTCTAAACCAACTTACAATGTTTAGCCGTTTAGCAGTTTAGCCCTTAGTGCAAAACTCTTGGGGTTTGGCCATATGTATATATATATATATATTTATTACTATATATTATTACCATAATATATATATATACATATCCATATATAGCCGCTTGATATGGATATGGCTATACAAACTGCACACAGCTCCCGCCGCTGCGTCCCTTTTTGTTGTCACCAAGGTGCCATGCTTTTGGCCGCAGCGTTTTTCACCACGACGACGAGCTGCGGCGTGAACAAGTTTTTTCGCTGTGAAAAAAATGGCTGGTTTTGCTACTGGAACTGGCCAGTTATCGATCCAATGTCCGTTGTGTAAAATTGCCAAATTTTGGAGTGTTGTGCCAAGAATTCAACTTGAAAAGGTGGTGTCCCAAGAGTTGATAGTCGGAGAGGAAGATCTTGTGACGGGCTGTCTTCGTTAAGTCTGGTCGGCTTTGATGCCAAGATATGCCAAGGCCGGGTCTAGAAATCACCCTCAGCACTGGAGCCGGAAAATCGCAGCACCAGAACGCAAGGTGAGGCTCCCCGCTTTTGTCCGTTGGTTTGTAAACCCATTACCCTCTGGTAATGACTGACATAGCTATGGAAAATGGCCCAGTCGAAATAGTTGAGTTTACCCATTAAAAATGCCGATTTTCCATAGTTATGTAAACGTTTACCAGAGGGTACCTCTATAGTTAGTTCATGTTATTTCCAGCGTAAACCCTGCCGAAAAGTCTGAAGAGTTCCGACTTCTTTGGATTTTGGCCATGTAGCCGATGGGGGGAACTATGCATCAACTAGATCAGAATGGGTCGCAGCCATGTCAGGAAAATGGCAGTGCATATATATATATATGTTTATCTATCTATCTATCTATCTATCTATCTATCTATCTATCTCTATATATCTCTATATATCTCTATCTCTATATATCTATATATATATCTATATATCTATATATATCTATATATCTATATATCTATATATATATATCTATATATCTATATATCTCTATCTATCTATATATATATATATATCTATCTATATATATATATCTATATATCTATATATCTCTATATATCTATATATCTATATATCTATATCTATATATCTATATCTATATATCTATATCTATCTATATCTATATATCTATATCTATATATCTATACCTATATCTATATATCTATATATCTATATATCTATATATCTATATATCTATATCCATCCATCCATCCATCCATCCATCCATCTATCTATCTCTCAGTATGATTATATATCAATCTGTGCATTCTTTTTGGTGATCTCGTTTTGCAACATTCCACTCCCACTTTCGGATGGAGATGTCCATTGCCAAATTTATGCTAGTTCATGGTGTCAGCCCAGGGGAAAAAAAAACACTTTGTTTTAGGATCAAGTAGCATGGAACATGGCTGAAAACCACCAAGCCATAAATATTTGGCAAACGGAAGGGCAAAAAAAGGCAAACAAAAATCTGCTACTCCGGCTCACCACCCTCCGACCCCAAAAATCTCGTCCTGTGCGAGTTGACTTTCCATGAGCATCGTCCAAAGATCTTCATATCTTTGGATCTCACCACAGACCGGCGCTGTCGCATCAACTGGCCGTGGCATGCTGTGGCTGTCCCATAGAGCTTGCATGGATTAAGCAATGATCATCCATAATGTATGAAGGGTAGCATATGATATCATATAACAATATATCATGATCAACAGTTATCAAGCACTGGCGTTGTTTGAACCAATCCCGGGCCATGGATAGCAACTGGGGCGTCTGCCACCCTGAACCCCCCAAGGCGCCAAGCGATATTTTTAGCCATCATGAACTCCAAACATTGCCATATCCAAATTGTCCCAAAAATAATCATCATAAACATATCTAATAAACATGCATATAAATTTCTATAGAATCTATATCCCCCAAATAGATCCTCAATCAAACACCGTAACGGCCGCCGCTGGCCGCAACTTCAGTTTCCGCCCTGGCCACCAGACTTTCTGCCCGCCTCTGCCTTCATCTTTCGGATGCCTGGGGTCTGCGGAGCATCACGGCTGTGGATGGGTGCGAAATCCGATAAACCACCAAAAGGATGGTTGAAACATGTTGGAACCCTATAAATACTGGGATAAACCACTGAATTATTTAAGGGATATGTGGGACCATTTCTCTCGGCCCCCAGGAACTCGCAGTGTCCACTGTGCGGTGAAAGGAAAAAAACGGGGAAGAAAGAAACACTGACATTTGCCGCTTCATGTGTACACTGTGACTGAACATTGATGCAAGTACTTGTCTGATCTCACATCCAATCTCTGCAACTCGACTCATTCCCAGGCGGAGGCACACTTCCGAATGATAATCATCGATATCTTCTTCACCTGCGACCAGTGCGATTCACCCATTGAAGGTTCAATATATTCCTCGCCAAGACCATCTGTTTGTGGAATCTGCAAAAATGCTTCCACTTCAGGATACTTCAGGTAGGATCAGCCAACAAAGCTACCATTTCCACCCATTTCCCATGTCAAAAATCATGTTCAAAAAGCCATGAGGGTTGCCTGCTAGCGGTGCAGCTTTCAAAAGCTATTTGCTTCTGAAATCCACCCCATGGGTGGATATGTTAGCTGTTTACACATGAGTGGCCAACACCCCCATTCAAAAAAACAAGTTTATACCAATAAAGTTGCACAACACCACAATCAATCATAGCATATCATAGCATTCCATGTGCAGGTATGGTATATTACATACTGTACCTCATATTAATGGGGCAAAGCTAGGGGCAAAATGTACATGGGTTTGTCTGCAAATTGAGTACCCCTGCATCTACTCGTTAATCATCATCGACCCTGTTAAAATTGCTATCTAGTTGGTGGGGTGCAACCGTACATCCAATTTTCAGACACACCCAAATAATCTCAAATATAAATCTTATAAACATTGTTGTTAAATTACATCCTATTTTACTTCCCAAAGTAAGCAGAAGAACATGAATAACGCTATACTTTACCCGCCATTTTTCTTGGTACCATCTGGTTATTTAACAGTTCGCCATGGAAAATCACCAGTTTTAATAGGTAAACCCAGGTAAACCATCTATTTCAATGGGCCATCTATATCATGGCTATGTTAGTCATAACCAGAGGGTAAATCTGCAGTACACCATGCCGCTGCCACGGTTTGAACGCGCCGACCTCGAGGCTCTCCCACCGAACTCATCCAGCGGCCCGCGAAGACCCCGTCGAAGAAGGCGGCAGTGTCATCATCTGCGTTCGCAGTGCCATGGTGTTTAATGGGATATTAATGGGATTTTATGGTGATTTAATGGGATTTATAGTGAGTTAATGGGATTTCATAGTGATTTAATGGGATATGAATGGGATATACCCTCTGGTAAACTAACAGTTTGCTATTGAAAATGACCATAGAAATAGTGGATTTTCCCATGAAAAATGGTGGATCTTTCCATAGCTATGTGGCTGTTTACCAGAGGGTAATGTGTTGGCAAAGCCAATATCATAAACCACCCAGATAGATTTTAGTCTGATGGGTTTATATCTCCCAGTAATGGGAGCTAACTATGTAAAACTGCGGATGGTTTGCCATTGCTTTACTAAAAGAATTCTTCGAAAAAGGGGGATGAGATGCACCAAATCCACCGACTTTCAAGAGTTGTTTGGACCCCGATCCTCTGGAGACAATCTTGGAGAAAACTCCGTGGTGGAGTTGGCTACTACTACTGCTACTGCTGCTACTACTGCTGCTGCTGCTACTACTACTACTGCTACTGCTGCTACTACTGCTGCTGCTGCTGCTACTACTACTACTACTGCTACTCTTACTACTACTACTACTACTACTACTACTACTACTACTACTACTACTACTACTACTACTACTACTACTACTACTAGTATGCCCCCAATTGTCCACTCGCACAGTTCTACCCTCCAGTATGGAAAATCATCATTCTTTGTAGGTAAATCCTCTATACATGGGCATGTTCAATAGCCATTTTAGTTTTACCTTAAAGGGTATCATAATGGTTTGGTGTTAAAAAATTGCACCAGACATTTTGAGTCAGGCCATGTGTACACAATTCTGATTGGCGGTGCCAGCCTCAGAAGGCCTCTATAGTCAATTGCTAAAACATCATCAGGGATGAAGAAAAATGGAACCGAGTGTGAGGACCATGAGGAACCCAGTCTGAGGAAAGGCATGTCTTCACATTGTTCAGGTGGGCTGAAAAAGGATTGGTGAAGTGCTCCGCAAGTTTGGAGTGGGGCTGAGCTAGCTTTGAAGACAGGAGAGTTCTGACTGGATCACCTTAAGATCCTTAACTTCATAAGTTCTTTGGGGAATAAACGTCAAGAGCAGTTTTGTACTTGTACATCCACCGTTTGATGTTTTGAAGCCTGAAAATATGAATCATTGGGAATAATATGGAGTAATCATCCCAAATATGGCTGAAACATACTGAAAGTTTACAAACACAATCCACCAACCAGTACAATGTGGTGCCCCTCAGTTATAAGTTGGTTTATAAACCCCATTAACTAGTTCGTTATATCTACCATAAACCATAAGTTATTGGAGTTATAAACCAACTTAGCTAACTATGGGGCACCACCTTGTACAGTCTCAACCAGTCCAGTGACTGTCTCCCAATGTGAGCCGCCCAAAAAATTGCCCGACCTCCGCCCGCATTGGGAAATTTCACGGATTTGATCATAATCCTCCGAGCCAGTGACATGACATGCACGACCATTCTGTTTGGCCCGAAGACTCCAAGAAAAGGAATGGAACATATGAAACATATGAAACAGAACAGACAAGCAAACCAACAGCAAGAAAGAAAGGGATATTTTATGTCTATGAAATATGCATAAAAGGCTGCAGGATGTATCATCCGTCTGAGGTGGCTCACGTAAGATCCATCATCTGCCAGACTCTAGACCTTTTTGACCAGGAGATGCGCCTGTAGCTGGTTGCCACTGGCCCCGGTTTTCGGAGGCAGCGCTGATCGACCAATGAATCAAGCACCGACCCGTTTTGGGTCGTTGCATCGGACCCCCCATCAGACACCAGACACACCACATGGACTTGCCAAAAAGTGATGTGCCATGACCCCAAAATCCAAAGGCGGTTTATCATCACTCTCAATATTCAATTGGCAATTGATGATATTGATTGCAATTCTTACATGCTATGGTATACATCCAGCTTCTACTAGAACCATATTAAACAACATCTGCACATTTTTCTGAAGAAAAATCCATCCGCTGCATCAGGCACCGTAGCCGCCGGTCACGGAGCCCGACATCATCCCTGGTTGCTTCGGCCGATTGCCAGCAGACGTGATCCGACACGTCGGCATGGCGGCCGTCAGCGCGGCCAGGGCGGCGTCGCTGATGGCGTTGTAGTCCTGGAGGCGGTGGTCCAAGAATCTGGGCAAATTACAATATTAATCAATATTCCACTGACCTAAGATAAGGCTAATATTGGGATAACTATCCCTACTAACCATCTATGGTGAAGCAGTGAGGTTGTTATGATATGTTATAATTTACCCAGAAAAATGTGTGATTCAAAGATATTCAAAGACTTGGAACAACCATGAACAACCAGCACGATGATGCCAACAATATAAAGCCCTTACGACTGCCGTGTGTACTCAATTGGCATTCTCCTACCAGCTGTGATGGAAGACAACAAACTCTACCCTCTGGTAAACTAACATAACTATGGAAAATCACCATTTTTAATGGGAAAACTCACTATAAATGGCCATTTTAAATAGCTATGTTAAATTACCAGAGGGTAACATCACTAGCTAAAGTGGAATCTGAGGACGTCAACCTTGCACCATTTCGGAATGCCAAAAAAATCGTCCCCTCTGGGGATGAAACCATGAGCAGAATCCCCACCAGCCTTCATCGAGATGCTGGAAATGTCTGTTCGGCATCTTCTTGGGACTTACGAGTACTCAACTTTTGAACGATGAATCTATAGTAGATGATAAGTATACACTAATAATAGAGATAGTATAGATGATAAGTATTCACTATTAATATCAAATTATTAATAGATGATAATTTAAGTATCCACTAATAATTGTGAATTAATATCATATACGGTACATATTTCAACACATTGTGGATGGAAAAACACACATTGTGGATGCCTGATTCATAATATAACCCATTATGCCCTCCAAATGTGCCCCGGTCCAGTTCCAAAGTTTGCAACTTTTCGTTCTCACAGAGGGCCTCCAACAAGGCCTCTGTCGGTCTCCGATTTCATGGCAATTTCAAGAGGGACCATGTGGATGTTATGGGGATGGCCTGGAACCCTGGCCAAAATTGGCCAAATGATATGGGTGTCTGAATGAAAATGAGCTATGTCCACAAAGCAGGAATGAAAACAACCATGTTCATAGACAGGTTGAATATAGGAAACTTATGATAAATTATCATGGTGTGGGAAACTCTACGTTCAAAGAAACCCAAATAGGACAATCGGATGGGGCCCAGTGCCAAACAACTCGGACGACCAACTGCCATGGCTTACTGTGGAAATTCATCATTTTCCGCATTGAATGACCATCTTGGAGTATCCCCCCAAGTTTGGAGGATGATTCATGCATTTTCCCCCTATATAAATACCTATACATAAATAATTACCCATTCACATATAAGAAAATATATACAACACACATCTGTATAACACTTGAGGCCGGGGGTGGATGACGAAAGCTAGCGGGGTAGGAGAAAGAAGGAAGGGAAGAGGTGAGTTGCGGAGGGACTGTCATCATCGTGTCGCGGCATTGTTCGTCCCAACGGGGATGCAACAATGATATATGATGTATGATATATAACAATGATATATATGGGGGAGGGGGCAGGGGGGGCCCTTTCGCGTGAAAAAGCACGTGATGTCCTTGGGGAGCCCCGGAATACTTGCTAAAGCAAGAAGACTCTAGCGAGCTGACGCTAGCTTTCGTGATAATGCCAATAATTGCCAACAATGATAAAATGTAATTGATTAACGATGATGGTGATGATGATGATGATGATGACGATGACGATGACGAGGACGATGACGAGGACGAGGACGAGGACGAGGACGAGGACGATGATGATGATGATGATGATGATGATGATGATGGCGATGGCGAGGACGATGACAATGATGATGATGATGATGATGATGATGATGATGATGATGATGACGATGACGAGGACGATGGCGATGGCGAGGACGATGACAATGATGATGATGATGATGATGATGATGATGACGATGATGATGATGATGATGATGATGATGATGATGATGATGATGATGATGATGATGATGATGATGACAATGATGATGACGATGATGATGGTGGTGATGGTGATGGTGATGATGATGATGATGATGATGACGATGATGATGATGATGACGATGACGATGACGAGGACGATGGCGAGGACGATGACGATGATGATGATGATGATGATGACGATGATGATGATGATGATGATGATGATGGTGGTGATGGTGGTGGTGGTGGGGGGGTCCCCCCATTTCGCGTGAAAAATCACGTGATGTCCTTGAGCAGCCCCCGGAATACTTGCTAAAGCAAGAAGACTCCAGCTAGCTGACGCTAGCTTTCGTGATAAAAATAACCACCTGACCGTCATACCAAATGCAGTTTGAGGTGATTGGAGTTTTTGCCCCGTTTCTTGGGCTACTAATTTCGAGCACACGCTTCGTTTGTTGGAGCCCCGAAGTGAATGGCACGTTACTTCGCGGAGGAAACAAAGAAAAACATGGATGATGCTTGGACGGTAACCCACGCACTGAAGTTCAGAAGTCCACATAGAACTCTGGGAGGCCTGAAGTTACTCTGGCAATCAGGTTCACAAGGCTCCCAAGAGTGCAAAGTTTATCATCTCATGGTGCATCTCACTGCAATGGAGGAGCTACGTGGCTGAATTGTGGCTCAATTGTTACAGTTTGCCGCACCAGCTCCCCCCAGTAGAACATTTCCAAGATCTTATCGGCTCCGCAACCAATTCCAATTTGGTCTGCTTCAACTCCCCCAACAAATGTGATCAGCCCAAATAAAGGTGAAATGATAAGGCCAGGTTGGCCCGCAGCACTGTTGGCCCTTCTCTGTCTCAGTGTCTCACAGTCACCCCCTCATCACTGATGTTGTTCTCCTGGGGTTCTCTGCGCCAAGTAACCCTGCTGCATTAAGTCCCTGCTGCGTGGGTCATCTCATCTATCAATGGGTCATAACAATGATACCATCTGGTTATGACTAACAGTTTGCCATGGAAAGATCCACCCATTTTATAGCTAGGTAAACCATCTATTTCGATTAGGGCCATCTATACCATGGCTATGTTAAATAACCAGAGGGTACCAGCAATCACACCTTTGTTAAATGATGATCAAAGTCCAATCTGGCCATCGACCCTCAAGAGGTAACCTTTTTGGCTTTTCACTAACATAGACCCGAACAAAAAATCATAGTTAAACAAAAATGTTTCCACATTGTTTCCACTATAAAAGTTGGACATGTTGAGGGTTTACCCTCTGGTAAACTAACAGTTTGCTATTGAAAATTGCCATTTATAGTGGATTTTCCCATTAAAAATGGTGATTTTCCATAGTTATGTGGCTGTTTACCCAGAGGGTTTCTCTAATTTTTTACTGGTTAAACACATCATCCGCCGTCCGACTCGTCACGGACTCGTCCTGGAGGCCCAGGAAAGTCAGGCAACGATTGCCTTTCAAGACCTGCGCCATGGCCTGGTGGATGTTTTCTCGACAGTCCGAGGGATTTTGAATTGGAAAAGAACATGGGGAATGGGGAAATATCCTACAAAAACCGATAGATATCTGGTTGGTGAACTATGGTTGGTGCTGACTGGAACCATGGAATTTTATATGACTTTCCATTCAGTTGGGAATGGAATAATCATCCCAACTGACGAAGTCCATCATTTTTCAGAGGGGTTGAAACCACCAACCAGTATAGATCAGGAATTGTCAGGGAGTTGCTGTATCAATGAATTAATGCATGACGATAGATCCAAAAATCCCCCCAAGAATTTGCCGATTTCCAGGTGTCCAGGGCCGTTCTGCGTATTATTTCGGGGTTGCTATGCTGCTATAGCAACAGATCACCTTAACATGCTTTGCACATTGATTTTCTGTTTTTTTTCATCACTATCATGGGGTAATTAGCATCATTATTGGCTAATGGAAAAGTATATGATTCATGGATGATGATGACAATGGATATGATGACAATGGCTAATGATAATGGATACTGATCTAGAGATAACAATGGATTATGATTGATGGATCAATTGAAAAAAGTAGTGGATCAATGGATAATAAAAGTAAGATCCAATTAATATGTAATAGTGTATGACAAAAATATTATGTTGATCCAACTATAATGATCTATCTTGTATATGATCCCAAAAAAATATGGACCATGGTTTAAAAAAAAACAAAGCTGGGACTGGGACCTGCCCCAGCGTCGGCTGCCTTGATGCCAAAGTCATGCAAGCGATTGGAGGCCAACTCCATCGACCTCCGGCTGTGAGAAGGTTCAACCATGGAATATGTTGGAATCAATGAAGACATATGAAAACTAGGGGGGGTCAAGATCTGTCAAGATCTCAACTTTAAGGACTTCAACATCATCCAATCAAACTTAGGGATATAAGATCATATAAGCTTGAGTTTTTAACCACAATACGGGATTTCAAGCGCCAAATGCGGAGATGAAGCCACCAATTCAAGATGTTCAACACAATCATATATTTCTATGCTAAGCAACCATCCCCTAAGGTTTGCTCAAATGCTGGGAGATATTCAACATCACCTTGCATTGCCTACAGCCCACTTCTTCATGTCAAGCATCCCAAAGGTGGAGCCGCTTTCATCCCCACCTTGCATCCAGAATGTTCAAAGTATGTTTCTGGTTGATGAATCCCAACAATTTGTTTTTCACAATAATCCCAATCCTTCTCAAAATGCATACGATATATATATATATATATAAAACTATATATTACAATATGATACCATACTTTATATCAGCATGGATTCCATACCAAAGTTTGACTCAAATGTTACCCTCTGGTAAACGTTTACATAACTATGGAAAATCACCATGTGTTTATGGGAAAACTCACTATTTCTATGGCAATTTTCAATAGCAAACTGTTAGTCTTACCAGAGGGTATATCCCATTAATATCCCATTAAATCACCATAAAATCCCATTAAATCACCATAAATCACTATAAAGTCCCATTAAATCACCATAAATCACTATAAAGTCCTATTTTTGTATGTTTTACCAGAGGGTAACATGGCAACCCCGCTGCCCCACTGCCCCGAAAAACCCGAAAAACCCCGGTGCACCTCACAGAATCCACCTCCAGCAGTGAGGCCAGGGCCTTGGCGCCGGCCACCCGGAGGTCGTTGGAGGACAGGTCCAGGCTGAGACGCATAGCCAGGGGTCTACCTGGCGAGGTCTGGGGAAACAGTTGGGATGTCTGGTTTGGAGAACTCATGATGATGACGATGATGAGGATGATGATGATGATGACGATGATGATGATGATGATGACGATGATGACGATGATGATGATGATGATGCTGATGATGACGATGACGATGATGATGACGATGATGACGACGATGATGATGATGATGACGATGATGACGATGATGATGATGATGATGACGATGATGATGATGATGATGATGACGATGATGATGATGATGACGATGATGATGATGATGACGATGATGATGATGACGATGATGATGATGATGATGACGATGATGGCTTTGATGATGATGATGATGACGATGATGATGACGATGATGACGATGATGATGATGATGACGATGATGACGATGATGATGATGATGACGATGATGATGATGATGATGATGACGACGATGATGATGATGATGAGTGTATATATGTAAATATATAGATAGATATAGATATATGGATATATATGTATATATATTTATATATATATATATATATATACATTTATATATACATTTTAATATAGATATATATATATATATAGGTAGATTAGGTAAGTAGGTAGATAGATAGATAGATAGATAGATATAGATATAGATATATATATATATATATGGGGATAGATATAGATATAGTTATATATATATATACATAAAGATATTTAGATATATAGATATATAGATATATAGACATATAGATATATAGTTATATAGATATAATTAAAACACACATATATATATAGATATATAGATATAGAGATATAGAGATATAGAGATTATAGAGATTATAGAGATTATATAGAGATTCGAGATATATAGAGATTCGAGATATAGATTATATATCGTATTGTACCATGAATAACATTCTTGGGGAAGATGATGAAGATTTGGGCTGGGGATCAACCGGAAATTGGCGGTTGAAGAACCGGGGTTTCATTGGATATTCTTGGGGATTTGATGGGATTTGAATGGGGTGCAGCTATCCTCTGGTAAACTATCAGTTTGCTATGTATGGAAAATCACCATTATAGCTGGGTAAATCAACTGTAAATGGCAATTTTCAATAGCTAAATTGAACTAAATTGAACTAAATTGGCATGTTGCATAGCTATCTCAGTTTACTGGAGGGTCAGGGTGGTGATCTGAAGCGCTTTTGGAGTATTGTTGGCTGACACCATGATATGGATTGATATGGTGGTTATTATGGATATACTTACAGTAATTACCGCCAAACGAGGTTGAGAAGGTTTAGTTTACAACAATTCACCACTATTCTTTAATGATTTTTACCGTTCTCTCTTTTTTGAGGCTCGCTACAAGTGTTCCCTGCCCAAAAGATCCAACTAACAATATCAATTCCCGATATTGTCTCGATATACCATAGTGCAAGATGGGAAGATCACAAAATCACCTCCAGAAAATCCAAGTACCACTGGTACCAATAATCCAATAGGTGGAGATTCACCCCCCCAAAGGTGATCCCACCATGGTCACCTTAGCCCATTCTGGACGGCCTCGCAGCACTTTGGCGATCATGGCTGCCCCCTCCTCCTGGCGGAACGGGCCATGTTGGACATCGGTGAAGATGTTTCAACTTGGGATATGGCCAAAAAACAGCAACATGTGGTATATCCGTATATCCCAAGTTGAAGCCTCTTCACCATATGGTGCAACAAAAAGGCCATGTTGGGATATGTTGAACCCTCTTCAACAGCCTTATGTATATAACATGGTGCAACAAAAGGCTATAAATATGGTTGGGTCATTCCACCACTGTCTTCAGGTGAAGCCGGCTAAGCCAGCTAAGCTGAAGTGGATCAACAAACTGCATACAACTGTTGGCGACCGGCAACTCAACCATAAGATTCATAAGATGCTTCTTCTGCCCCTCCTTGACATTCAACTACTAGTGATAAGACCTATAAACACATTAAAATGTCATAAAATGTCCGTATTTAATGTGAACGAGGAATCTTCCCCAAAACGCTTTTGCTATGGAGCTTCAGGTTGACCAAGGGGGCACGGTTCATCTTTCAATCGCTGCAAGAAATGCGAAGATTTAGATCCATTGGGATCCATTGTGCATGAGTCAAAAGTTCACTGCCATTTTTGGCACTAGGCACAGCATTCTTAAAACCCCAACGAACCAGTCAATCCTGCAGCACATGAACCAATTATCCTCCTTCAAACCAGCTATATCCATATTTCTGTTTGGGGTAAACTCTCCATAAATACTTGCCAACTATAAATAATTATAAATTTTAAATATATACGAGTTTGTCTGACAAATTATTTTTACAAAAATGTGCGTTATCACAGTTATCAGAGTTATCACCATCTTTCCCTACTAACATTGCAATCTGGTTGGTGGTTTGAACCCCTCTGAAAAATAGGAAAGTCAGTTGGGGTTATTCTTCCCAAAATATGGAAAATAATGCAAATGTTCCAAACCACCAACCAGTCATAGATTACCAATTGATTAGCCATTAGTATCCCATTATTATCCCATGATCATATGTTATTATCCCTTGTTATCAATGATTAACAATTATATACAATTATTTTACCCATTAATAATCATTACTTCCCCATAAAATCCAGAAAAAAAACTTGAAACATCACGATTTTCCCCCATTTTTTACGGTTGATTATATACTACCACTATTTGGGATAACATACTATATTCCCCAATAAATTGTTGATGATTTCCCATTATAATACCATCATAATCACTATAATCACTATAAATCACGATTTTCCGCCTTTTTTACGGTGGGTTATATACCAACCAGCCTTTGGGGAATTCATCAGCCTTTTCCGACACATCGCGTGACTCATCCGAAGCCATTCCCGATCGGATCCTGCAGAAAGTTCTCCGAGAGATCCACCGTGGCAAGGGATGGCACTTGGAGCCTCGGCGATCGGACGAGGCTTCAAAAAGGCGATCATTGAGATTGATTGAATGGGATTTTATGGTGATTTGATGGATAGTGATTCAATGGGATTTTATAGTGATTCAATGGGATATTAATGATTAATAATGGGATATACCCTCTGGTAATTTAACATAGCTATTGAACATGGCCCATTTATATTGGATTTACCCATTGAAAATGGTGATGTTCCATAGTTACGTTAGTTTACTGGCGGGTAGATTCATTTGGCCATGTTTCTGGTGAGAAATGATCTTAAATTCTCCAATGTGCATCATTTGTGCATCATTTAGATTCATTTAGCCATGTTTCTGGTGAGCAAAAGACCGAGGTCGCGGACAAAGATTATGGTAGGGGCTTTTGACCATCAAGGATGTGATTTCACCCAGAAATTGCCTGGAAATTTAGCCACCGTAAGTTCACCGTTTGAATGGATACATCATGAATCATGCCCAGAACTCAGATTCTCACCACGTTTTCTGGGTGGAGGATACCTTACTTAGTACTTCCTCCTGGTCAGAAAATCAACCTGAAGTGTGGCAGCCCCCAGTCCCGCCATGCCATATCATGCCATCCAGCAGCAAGAGCTCTGCCACCAGTTGACCCGCCTTGCTGGGACTTTTCACATGGGAAGGCCCCGACTCTAATCCCATCCACTTGTTTCCACACCCACAGAATAAAAACCATGGTTTTTCTTAGAGATGTTCACATATTTGGGGACCACCTAAAGGTGGTGTTTGATATTAGGATGGGATTCATAGACCCACCAAGTAGAAGGCAAGCGCGGCAATTTGCTCTTCAGCCAACGGTTCACCCAACAAATGCCCCCCCAACTTTCTGGGGTTTCGAACCAGGAGAACCCACCAGGCATGGCGTCAATTTCACCATGTGGAGTGCCACAAAAGTGAAAGTGGCTAAACCCTTTTATTGGACCAAACCAAGGACAACCAAACCATGGCCAACCTTAGATACCTTGCATGCTCTAGATAAGTGGCTAGGTTCCTATGACACCAGTCTCCATACATTTTTGATGCTGAATGTGCCATATTTTGTTAGTACAACTGTAAAACACCCCGATTTTTTTTGGATGATTGAATCCTCATCCATCCGATGAATCCTCATATGTCCATCCATTTCACCTGGCTATATCAGCTGTATCCCTAGTTTTGGTGATCCCCATTTTATGTGGTGAAACCCTCCCAGTTT